TAGAACAATGCATGGCCTGAAATTCTATTCTTGGTTGTTGGCAACTTAGATCTACTACTCGACTTATACTGGAGATGGATAATAACACTAGTTGTTACAGAAAATAAACCTTTATTGCAAGATCTACACCAAATTTGGCCAAAACTTATAATTAAACTACAGTACAAGATGATTTATTGGTGAAAGTAATATTTGGTGAATTTGCCTGTGGAAAGTTAATTGGCAAATTTTATATTAGCAATATTGCCACTGAGCATGCTCGAGTGCTCAAATTGAAACAAAATGGTGGATTTTATCATAGATTTTATATTGTAGGCAATTAATATTTTTCATAGAACTGCCAATCACCAATATTAATTCCTTGCCAATAAATCATCTTGTACAGTATTAGTCTTGCCTGTAGTATTTGTCTTGTATTTGTATACTTCTGTTATAAAAAGGGGTTTATGGCTTTTGGGCATGGCTATTTTATTCTCAGTTATGAAGTGAAGGATACAGGGACAACACATGCAGTTAAGTAAAATATGCATAGGTCAGTCGCTTAGAAAGTTCTTAAGATAGGGGTCATGATTTTGGTCGGTTGCATCACTTGCATGGTCCAATGCCCCCAAAGCTCATGTGATGTTGATTAAGTGCCCTTTTGATCTTTGTTGTGTGTAATAAAAATAATTTTCATTTTATCACAGGTCCACAACATTCTCATGCCATGGCAGTAAGTCATGTCACATGTGAATGTGTAATTTTATTCTTTTCTTCTATGATACCATTGTGATTCTTTACTAAACTGTGTTATTCACAATCTTTCAGACAGTAAGTCACGTCACATGTGAATGTGTAATTTTATTTTTTCTTCTATGATACCATTGTGATACTTTACTAAACTGTGTTATTCACAATCTTTCAGCCAGTAAGTCACATCACATGTTAATGTGTAATTTTATTCTTTTCTTTTACAATACCATTAATATCATTCTTTACTAAACTGTGTTTTTCACAATCTTTCAGCAAGTAAGTCACATCACATGAACAAGTAATTTTTTTTTCTTCTATGATACCATTGTGATTCTTTACTAAACTGTGTTATTCACAATCTTTCAGAGAGTAAGTCACATCACATGTGAATGTGTAATTTTATTTTTTTCTTTTACAATACCATTATCATTCTTTACTAAACTGTGTTTTTCACAATCTTTCAGATAGTAAGTCACATCACATGTGAATGTGTAATTTTATTTTTTCTTCTATGATACCATTGTGATACTTTACTAAACTGTGTTATTCATAATCTTTCAGCTAGTAAGTCACATCACATGTGAATGTGTAATTTTATTCTTTTCTTCTATGATATCATTGTGATTCTTTACTAAACTGTGTTATTCACAATCTTTCAGCCAGTAAGTCACATCACATGTGAATGTGTAATTTTATTCTTTTCTTTTACAATACCATTATCATTCTTTACTAAACTGTGTTTTTCACAATCTTTCAGATAGTAAGTCACATCACATGTGAATGTGTAATTTTATTTTTTCTTCTATGATACCATTGTGATACTTTACTAAACTGTGTTATTCATAATCTTTCAGCTAGTAAGTCACATCACATGTGAATGTGTAATTTTATTCTTTTCTTCTATGATATCATTGTGATTCTTTACTAAACTGTGTTATTCACAATCTTTCAGAGAGTAAGTCATGTCACATGTTAATGTGTAATTTTACTTTTTCTTTTACAATACCATTATCATTCTTTACTAAACTGTGTTTTTCACAATCTTTCAGCAAGTAAGTCACATCACATGAACGAGTAATTTTATTTTTTTTGTATGATACCATTGTGATGTGTTTTAGATAGTAAATAATTTTTATCCAACAAATTCCAACGTCATTATTATTTTTTAGGATACAAGTATGTATGCTGACTGCAGGGAACATTCCAATTTTAACTTTTACTATTATTTATTTCTTATAATGATGTTAATGTTTATGTACTAATAGGTGCCTATGAGAAAGCTCTCGAAGAACAAGGAAGTGCTGTTGTAGCGTATGCTCGTCTTATGTTACTGGGATCAGCTGGTACTGGCAAGACGTCTCTCAAGCGTTCATTAATGGAAGAACCTTTCAATCCTCATACTACAAGCACCATTGTATCTGATGTATCCTCTGTACGACCATTTGGACACAAGTGGCAAACAAAAAGAGGAAATAAATGGAGAGAAGCCACAGAAGAAGATGAAATTGAAGAACTTGCACATTTGTTTAAATCTATTCCATGTGCACCCTCACACCATGCACCTGAATCAAGTTTATATCACGCCCTTGATTTAGTTGAAACCAGTGCAAAAGCTTTAGATTTAACTACAAAAATGCATATTAACAAATTGCTTAAAGAAGTTTATGTACATAAAACAATAGAATCACTTGATCAAGTTAGTCACTCATAATTAACATGTACCCTATTTTATATCAATTTTTTAGCCATTTCTTCATATATGGGATTGTGGTGGTCAGCCAGTGTTCCTTGAGATTCTCCCAGCCTTCCTCACTCCTCGTACAATGTTTCTCCTCCTGTTTGATGCTTCTATGGATTTCAGAGAAAGATGGCAGTCACGTCAGAATACTCCTGATGGTGAAGTGCTGTTTGGTGAAATAGTGAATGAAAGCACGAGTGATCTAATGGCCAAATGGATGTCTACAATACACAGTCACCTTGTGAAGCACAACAAAGATGATTCTACTTCTCCTAGTCTCTACTGTATTGGCACTCGTGGTGACAAGCTAAGTAAGGAAGAAAAGGAAGAAATAAGAAAGCAAATACAGTCCCTGTATGAGGAGAAAGAGTTCTCAGATCTCATTGAAGATGTGCTAATTGTTGATAATAAGACCTCAGGCAAGGGGGAAAATGAAGACCCAAGCATTACAGAATTACGCCAATCAATTAATGATTTTATCAATACATTAGCTGTTCCAACTCCTGTCAATTGGGTTCTCTTTCGCAAAGTTCTTCAAGAGCTTAAGCAGAATGTCATTAGTGTATCTGATGCTATTGCCATTGGAGTGGCATGTAAGATAAAAGCAAATGATGTTGCTGAAGTATTGAAATTCTACCATGAGCTGGGAGTAATACTTTACTATCCTCAAATAGAAGGTCTGAGGAACGAAGTCATTCTCAGTCCAAAATGGTTTATCGATACCATTGGGGAGGTGTTCCCACTAGAGACAGGACAGGGTAGAGGAAAAGGATGGTCTGCGTTGCGAAATAAAGGTATTCTTGTTCAAACATTCTACAAAAAAGTATGGAAGTCAAGTGGTATTGGTCCAGAGAAAATAATTAAGTTTTTAGTTCATTTTCAACTTGCAGCTCAAGTTCAAACTGAGCTTTATGATGGCAGCATCAAGCAATATTTTCTTCCAGCAGTCCTACCAGGATACACAGGTGACCCTAATGAAGTACGACCTGGTTGTAAGCTAAGAGCCTCACCTGTACACATTACATTTTCCACTGGGTATGTACCTCCTGGCTTCTTCACTCGTTTAGCAACTGCTGTTGCTTCTAGTGCCAATGTTAAGCTCAATATTGATAAAGATTATGCAGCACCTGACATTCATTCGAAATGCATTTATCGTAATCGTGTTTGCTTTTTTTATAGTCGTCCTTCTGATGATTTTGTTCTCACTAATGTTAATGAAGCTATTCAAGTTGATGTGTTGCGATATCTCCCTGAGAGTAGTCACCCTGTTCCTTTCAAAGCAGTTTGTCAAGGAATATTGAAGATATTAGATGAATGCTGCCAAAAGGTTGAAGAAACTCTTCACCATGATCATTATGCTGATCGATCATCAAGAAAAGTACAGTATGTTTGTCAATGCAGTCCTTCCAGTGATGTACATTACATTCAAGACATTGATGCTGAGAAGACAAGCTCTGATCCTGTTTACTGCAAAATGGAAAGATGCCCTCGCCGCCTAACTGATCAGGAATCAGTGTGGTTCAATGAAATGTCACAAGAAAAACAACTCCAAGAGGTATTCAATTTGTTAGTAACAGTAATATAATTTATTGTACTGTTATAATTCAGATTCCACCTTTGGAAGAGATTATCATTAAAGATGATTATAGTAAGATTAGCTAATATATATATCACTCTAAGCTATTATTGTTTCATATTTTTACTCTAAACAGAGTCGACAAGTCAAAAAATTGACTCAACTACAAATTACTCTGCCACTCAGATCAGTGAGTCCAATGATGATGATCAACATAAAGGTATAAGCACTCAGTCACTGGTTTCATATCATTTGTTTATTTTTATGATTTATAGGCATATTGACTATCAAGAATCTGGTAGATATCATACGAGTGTTAGAAAAAGGTTACTTTCAGAACAAAAAATGGTTTGATCTTGGTCTCTACTTGGGTCTAATTCATACTGATTTAAAGACAATCGAGGATAATTATCCACGAGATGCTAAGCGATGTCTCAGAGAATGTTTAGCATTATGGCTTACAGATGATATTGAAGCAACATGGGACAAACTAGCTATTGCTGCTGGTGAAGTAGGAGAGACATCAGTTGCTGACTACATTAGTGAAATCTAAATTAATTAATAATAATAATAAATTGATTATTAATGATTAATAGGATCAAGAAAAGAACTTTAACAAATGGCAGTAGTGTTAATCATTTGAATAATTAAAATGTTTTGTAATTATTAGTGGTTTCTATTCTTTTTTAGCTGTTATTTGCATCACATTAGTATACATATTTTTTATTAAGTAATTGTTTGCTCTTTTAGTTATTTTGTTTCTTCAAGTTATTGTTGGATGCTACATGTATTTAACACAATGCTGGTGAATAAGGAACCAGTTCCTGTCACAAGTAGTCAGTGTATATTGATATTTCCTGAATAAAGTCCAAATATACTTCCATGAAAGGAAAGGCATCTTGGAAATGTTGACAGAATCTTGTCTACAGTACAAACACTACACTAACT